CTTTTAATGAGATTCAAACACACACTAAAATTTTCATTCTCATTTTTCTACTCATTTTCAACCGCATATTTTTTAATAAAATAATATTTTCCATCACATCAATAACTTTTCATTCTTTTTCAACCACAAATTTTTCATCAATCTACTATTCCAGAATACATTTTTTCAAAATAATGTGGCCCAAACACACCCTTAATAGAAATATCTTGAATCCTATTCCTCATAGTCTGGTCCAGTTGGCATCCATTGGTACATTATCAAATAACCGATCAAGAACTGCTCAAACCGGCCCATAACCGTCCGAATCAGGCTTGAGTGGAAACTGGATCTGATTCAATCTAAACCGAATGTTACCAAAAAGATCCAAAGCAAAATTTAATATCATATTTGCACTAGAAGAGATTCGTACGTTGCTTCTTCTGTGAAATATGAGTACCTTGACCACTTGGCAATTACATAACCTTCATAATAAATGTAAATGAAATATATATATTAAGTTTTAGCAAAATGTTGTCTATTTGTTCTAAAAAATATTTTTTAACTAATATTCGACCTAGCAATGACCCATCAGTTGAACCACTGATTCGATGACTTGTTAGGATCGACAACCGGGTCGGGTTTGATAAGTATGCTATTGGTCTCTATTGTAACAATTTGAGAAATTGGTTCTAATGGAACCAAAATCATAGATATCCAAAACGAGAACAAGATAGTCTTGATTGCATTAAAATTACTCTTATATTAATTTTGGTTTCAAATCTTCCTATTCAGAATATGAATTAAACCGAGATTGGATAAGATAAAGATTTACATGATAAGAGTGGGAACAAACAAGGAGACCAAAGTTCTGTAGAATACTAGAGGATGAAGTCACCATGGCAGAAGAGAAAGAGAAAGAAGAGAACAAATAAGCTTGGGCTAGTTGGGGCTCGCAAAGGGAAATCATGATTGAATTCACAGTGTAGCGAGATACAACAGGTTGCAGCATAACTAAAGGCTGTTAATGTTCGATACTGATCCATTAAAATCACATAAACTTTTTTGTCCGAAACCTATTTGTTTCTTACCATTAATATATGAAAAAGTCATCAATTGAATAGTCAAGAAAAAAAGGGGGAGGAAAAAGCGAAGTGTCCAATTACTGGTGAAAAATAAACATAACTTAATGAATAATGCATATAGATTTCATTTCTTGTTTATTTTTTTAACCTCAGCATGACAATAATCATAACCTTCAATAAACAGTCAAATGAAGTGACATTTACCTTCTCAATGTTATCCATCATTATTCCTTTGACCTCTGTTATTTGAGCCTTCACTTTGGATTCTGGACAGCTTACTTATTTCATCTGGATGATTCATACAATACTGCATGTGCTCTTTAAGCCTTGGCCTGGTAAACAAAACACAATATCAAGTCCACTACAATTCAGCTCACGGAGTAAATATAATTCAGTAGTAAATCATAACCACAGACCCAAATTCTCGGTCAAGATTGTATGCAATGTTAAATCGATCTTCAAACAAATCATCATCTTCATCTTCATCATCAGCAAGTGGGTGAGGGCCATCGGTCTTGATGCTGTCACCATATCGTTGTTTGAAGTCATCCTTCACTCTCTCGAGAAAAACAAAAGGTATAACTCTTCCCATAGATTCGTCAGCAACAGCAAGGAAAACTACAGAAGAATTAAATTATAGATAGTTACTAGGTTAATTTAAGCATTAATGATTACACACTGCAAATGTGTGAGCGTGTCTGAGAAGGAGTAAATACCAAATCCACTGTCAAAGAGAAAATTGAAGGTATGGCCATCGCAGGAGTTTGTGTATTTGCAGCTGTTAGAAGGAAGCTTTTGCAAGCACTGGACAGCAATTGTGCTGAAGTTTCCAGAATAAGAAGTGTGATCTGCTAGAACAACAGTTCCTTTCGCAACAAAGCTATAAATCAAGCCCCTTTGACTCATATCTTAAGTTCACCAGAGAAATTGATATCCCCCAGTAAAACACAAATCTTATTTTTACCTAAAATTGCAACATTAGGATTCTGAAATTTATCCAAACTCTAAAAAATTATAATTTAATTCCAAATCTTTGAAAAGAAAAAATAAGAAAGTAACAAATCCAAAAGGATCTCATGTGTAGATGCTATATGGTGTAGTCAAACAAGATTGCCAGAATACATTTGCATTTGTAACGACTCTATTGTCTCACGTCGCTAAGTTAAAGTGTAGATAGTGGGCTTATAAGCACTTTAGCGAGTCTACCCGGTATGTTTGTTACGATGATACCAGAGAAGGCAGCCTTATAAAGGTTGTCCAACTGGTTCCATCAAGCCACATGACTATAAAATGGACCTCTGTGTGGTTCTGAATACACTAAGCGGGCACTTGGAATTGCTGTGAAGAGCTACAACCTCGGTTGACAATCACATACATGCGGGTCCAC